ATTGCGTTTTCTCGGCCTGGCCGCCTCGAGGGCAGGGACTTTCTCTAGTTATCTCCCTATGCCACATCTCCTGGTTTGTAGCAGGTGCCCAACCAACGTTTGGAGAAAGGCCGAGTAGACTGAAGCGATGGTTTTGACCCTATTAATAGACCCTATTAATACGTCGCTTTAACTAACAGGACTAAGCAGATAGGGCTATCTTTACTGATAAGCATGAAATACACTGAGCCTGTTTTCTTCTCTCCCAGACTGGAGGCCGTAATCAATGTCTCCCTTCTGTTGCAGGTTTCTGAGAGGGGAGACAGGTTTCTTCAAGCCAGCTGCTGTTGGCAACTTTCCTGAGTGGGAGCCCCACAGGACCTCCAGGTTATGGAGCACATAATGGCTACAATGTGCTGGGCCGCAGGAGGGAAAAGAACAATCTCTATAGTCTCTGTACTGTTTACACTAACTTAACAAAAGCGTTTCACGTAAGTGGATGGGCGCCAGCCTGAGAAGACTATCAACACAGGGAAAGGGATGGGGGATGGTGGAGAGGGAAGTCTATAAATTCGACACCAACCCTCGCCGGAAAACACGCTGAGCTGGCTCCCACTATCTCCCTGATGTTTCTTTTTGTTGTTGTTGTTGTTGTTGTTGATGAGGCAGTGAAGAGGAAGAGGGGAACTTCAAATAACAGCTCCCATTTATTTAGCATCTACTACACACCAGGCATTGTACTGATGGCTTTGTGTATATTATATAGTTTAGTTCCTCATAACCCCTTGAGATCGATACTATTATTGTTCCAATTTTACAGATGGAGAAACTGAGGCACAGGGAGGCCAAGTAGCTTGCCTGAGGTTACACAAGGAGCAAGCCAGAATTTAAATCCTGACAGTCTGACTGGAGAGCCCATGCCCTTAACCAGTGCACCACACTGTCTCCCACTGGTGGTACAAAGGCCATTTCTACTGTGGTTCTAGTCCTTGGGGAGCTGATAGAGCAACCAGAGACCGACACGGGCCTCAAAGGGAGAGAATATGACCATAAGTACACAGGGCAGGAAGAGAAAATGAAGGCCCGAGAGGCTCACTAGAGCTGGTGCTGGAGATCATTGGCAACGGGGTGGGGGTAGGATGGGCGGAAGCAGGAGCTGTTCCCACGGGTGCTGACAGGTGCACTGAGACAAAGCAGAGTCAGGGCAGAAAGCTGTGAAGGCAGTTTCCTCCGAGGAGAGCCAGGCCACCAGCCTGCCACAGGGAATGGGCAAACAGCCCCAACATCCACTCCTAGGTAGACACCCCAAAATAATGAAAGCAGAGACTCCAACAGATCCTTATACACCCATGCTCACGGCGTTATTCATAACAGCCAAAGGTGGAAACCCTAATGTCTATCAACAGATGAGTGGGTAGACAAAATGTGGTACATACCTACAGTGGGCTATTACCAAGCCTTAAAAAAGAATGAACTTCTGACGCATGCTACAGCATGGATGAACTCTGACGATATTATGCTAAGTGAAAGAAGACAGATACAAAAGGACAAATACTGCACAATTCCACTTATATGGGGCACCTAGAGTAGGCAAATTCATAGAGACAGAAAGTAGCATAGTGGTCACCAGGGGCAGGGGAAGGAGTGGGGAGTCAGTGTTTAATGGGTGTGGAGTTTCAGTTTGGGAAGATAACAAAGTTCTAGAGATGGTTGGTGGTGCTGGTTGTACAACATTGTGAATGTAGTTAATACCATTGAACTGTACACTTAAAAATAGTTAAAATGGTAAAAAAAAAAAATAGAATAAAATCAAATAAAAACAGGCCCAGCAGCAGCCTGGGTCACTGAGCTTGCGGCCCACACGGAACGGTGGTGGGTTTTGAGGTCTTAGGGACAGAAATGGTCACCCAGAGAGAGGAGCGGCAGTGGGTGTGCATTGCCTGAAGAGGGTGCCAGAGAGCTCCGGACGGCGCGATTCCTCAGCCGCCCCACCGCCGCCCCGCCCCACCCCACCCCCGTCTGCGGCTGTACACACACACACACACACACACACACACACACACGCACACACGCGCTCACTTACCCCACTCCAGAGCAGACACAGCCCGGCAGCCCAAGCAGAAGGAGCAGCAGGGTGTGGCCCGACTCCAGGGAGTCCTGGGGAATCCCTATAACCGAGCAAAGGTCGTGCCTGCCTCTCCCAGTGTCTCTAGGGAGCACCTCCTCCCCTCCGAGGCCCAAACCAGTTGATTCTCCAGTGAACAGATTGCTAAGAGGTGCTACCCGTCCAGTCCTCAGGACTGTCCTGGGTGGAAAGGAGGCAGTGCATTCCAAGTGGAAAGATCGTGCACGCTCCAGTGCAACAGACTTGGGTTCGAATCCTGATTTCTACTACTTGGGAGCGTATGACCTCGGGCACAGCATTTAACCTCTCTGTGCCTCAGTTTCCTTGTCTGTAAAATGCAGTTGATAATAGCACAGGGACTTATCTTACAATTGTGGTGTGGATTAAAAGATATGTCAAGTGCTCACAACAGTGCCTGCACAGAGTGAGCGTGAAATAAGTACCCCGCAGCATTCCCTCACAAAGTGGCTGCGAGGACCAAATGGGACCGGCTAAAAGCAGCCGGTCCCATATGGACCCTCGAGCAGTGGTAGCTAATACTACTAATAATGTTAACACCACAGACCCGGGACCCTGAGCAGTCAGAGTAATGGCCAGAAGAACGTGGAGACGCCGAGTGCTGCTGGAGAAAGGAAAGACATGGTTCAGGGTCTACGGGGAGGACAGTGATAGCAAGTCTCCAAAGAGCACTGCCTTGCTTCGCCCTAGGCGGTTGGGTGCTGGGTGGCTCCGGCGGCCGCTCCAGAAGGCTTGGGGAGGGAAGCGAAGCAGAGCAGTGAAGAGCCAGCGACACTGTTGGCCTTCCCCGCGTGGGATGCCTTCAGGGAAGGGGAAGGGGGCGGAGCCACCCCAGAGTCTCCAGGGACCAGCTGTACAGTAACAGCCTCTGTTTCTATTCCTCCCCTCTTGGTGTCAAAGCTTGTTTTTGTGGCTGGAGAGGAAAGGCATGGGCGGGGCTCTACCGCACAGCACCAGGAACCACAAACCCGCCCCCAGACTGAGGGTACAGAATGTACCCAGACTACAAACCACACCCTTGTGGCTTGGGGAGGCCCTGGGGCGGGCTGGGGAGCTGTCACACTACATTGTTTGAGAGCCCTGTGCCTAGCAACCTGCCTGGGATTCCACAGCACTCAGACAATGGGATGCCCCAAGGGGGCAGGACTGAGTTGGAGGACCTCCTGCCAGAGGTCGGCCAGTGCCCAGGATCCCTCTGATCTGAAGAGAGGTCCATGGACCCTCCCGGGGCTGGATTAGGTCTGGAGCTGGTTTAGGAGAGCTTCCAGCTTAAGGCCACCATGAGGGGACACTCCCAGACACAGCCAGACCCTCCTCCAGCCCCAACCAATTTAGGGGGACAGATTCTGCCTCCCTCCACCTGTCTGCACCATCCCCCAGGAGGCCTCACTAGGGTTCTCAGAGCAGTGAAAGGAGGGAGCCAGATGGGCCATTTGGGGAGGGTGGTGACAGTTTCCTGAACCCTGAAGTGACTTGGAAATGAAAGAAGATTGGGAGGGGGCCAAACCTACAGGAGACAGGGGAAGGACTTCCAGTCGGAAGGGCTGGAGGAAAAAGGTCTTGTGAAACCGGGATGAAATCGAGCGGGGACAAGTGCAAGGAGTTGTTAGTGACAAAACCTAACAACATAATTTGGCTCAACACAAATAAACAAGAAAAACACGGAGTGAAGGAGGGAGTTGACCACAAGTCGAATATGAATCAGCCTCAAAATAGAGCATAGCTCACTTCTGTTGGCCACATTTTCTAGACCAAAGATCAGGACACACATTTAACAGGGATGAATGCACTTATGGGGTAACAAGCCTGAGTGTGTGGGATTGAAATTCTCCCCAGCAAACCTCACTCCTAGGCTCGCTGAGACCACGCTCTGTGCCAGCCTATTCTTCATCAAAGAGCTAGGTCCAGCATCTGGGGAAAATGGAGAAGATTCCGAAGAGGAAGAAAGAGATGAAAATTGGGCTGTCTGGGCAAAGATTGGTAAAGTAGAGGCAGTGTGATGAGGTGGAAAGAGCTCAGGCACCAATGTCCAGCAGCTGGACACTTAGTGACTGTGCACCATCAGGAAAGTTGCTTAACATCTCTGAGCTCTAATTTCCTTGTCTTTAAAACTGGGATAATAATATCTGCCATAAGGATTGTTGTGAAGATTTAAGTGATTCAAAATATGTAAAGCACCAAACACACAGCAGGTTGTCAATAAATGCATAGCTGCCAGGTTCGGAGAAGGGAAGAATTAGATGTGAGAGGATTTTCTGAGGAGGCTACAAAGTAGTTGCTCCCCCACATCCGTGGAAACTGGACCAAGGGGAAATGAACTCTGGCTGAAGCAGGGAGGATTCCGGTGGGCGTGGACAAGAACCTGGTGACCATCAGAAGTTGCAAATTGGCAGCTGACAGGCTAATTCCAGTGCTCAGGCATGTTTTGTTTGGCCCAAAGAGTGTTTTCCATAAATTTGAATTAGTTGCCAACTTTTTAAAAAGTGGAAGATTTCACATAAAAATCCAGATTTCTGGTTTCTCATTTTTTAAAAATGGTAATATATATATATATATATATATTTTTTTTTTTTTTGGTGATAGAGTTGCTTTATTTTTATATGCCGGGGGTCCCTAATTAGCAGAGACACTTGAAATATGTGCCTTTTTTTTTTTTGGTGAGGAAGATTGGCCTTGAGCTAACATCTGTTGCCCATCTTCCCTCTTTTTATTTGAGGAAGATTGTCGCTGAGCTAACATCTGTGCCAATTTACTCTATTTTGTACGTGGGTGGCCACCACAGCATGGCTTGATGAGCAATGTGTAGGTCTGTGCCCAGAATCCGGGCCATGAACCCGGGGCAGCCAAAGCGGAGCACGAACTTGACCACTATGCTACGAGGGTGGCCCCTGGCCTCTCTTGAAAAAGTAAAAAATCTAGCAACTCTGGACCCACACGTCCGCATGACAACGGTTGGGGGAGCGGAGCGAGGGCTGCTTCTTTTAGAAGGTCTCTCACACCAGTGCGTTTCCAACAGCAATGCACGGAGGAAACCTGGGAATTCTGTTAAAAAGTAGATGCTAATATCCAGAAGGGGCAAATCCATAGAGGCAGAAAATATAGTAGTGGATGCCCATGGCTGGAGGGAGGAGGGAATGGGGGCTGAGATTGCTAATGGGTCTGAGGTTTCTTTTTCGGGGTTATGAAAATGGAACCAGGTAGGGGTGATGGTTGCACGAAATTGTGAATATACTAAAAACCACTGAACTGTACACTTTAAAAGGGTGAATTTTATGGTATGTGAATTATATCAATAAAGTCGTTACTATAACAAGGCAGACGCCGATTTGGTAGGGCTGAGGTGGGGCTGAGGATTCCGCCTTTCTGACGAGCTCCCCGGTGCGCTAATCCCCAGGCCAGCTCTACGTAGCTCTTTCATCGCTAGTTTTCAGCCTCTGCTGCTCACTGGAACCACCTGGGGAGTGTAAAAAGCTACTACTCACGCCCCGGCCCCACCCCCAGAGATTCTGATGACACTGGTGTGGGGTGACGCCCGGCCATCAGGATTTTTAAAGCTCCCCAGGTGATTTTACTTTGCAGCCAAATTTTGGAACCACTGTCTTACACCCTGGCCACTTTCCCCTTTCCCGTTGCCTCCCTTGGCGCGCCCTGAGCCATTTGACTCCTGCTCTTCTCCAGATCCCAAAGTTTGGCTTCCCAGGCTGTGCCAGGCCGGCTTGGCCCTGCCCACTGCCTTAATCCCACCCTAGTTCTGGGATTGTGAAGCCAAACATTTCCTCCTTCACTCCTCCCCAAGTCCCTTCTTAGTGTAGGTGGTTTTACTTTTTGGGGGCGTTTCGGGTGAGGACCTTTGTCCGAGACTTTTGAAAAAACGAAAGAACTCCGATCCTCCTCTGGTAAGTAACCCGGGACCCGCAGGGCCTGGCTCCGCCTCCGCCCGCCGCCCTCCCCGCCACGCCCCCGCCGGGCGGCCGCATGGCGGCCCACATGCCCTCCGCTTTCCCGGGCGGCGCTGCATGGCAAGACATGTGCTCACAGGGGAGGGTGAGCGAGACGCAAGTGATGCCGATCTTCCTGGGCTTGGAAGCCGCCTAAGAACCAACCACAGTGACCCTTCAAGTGGGACGAGGAGGCCGAGGGAGGGGAAGACAGTGGGCGGGGCTGGGGGCGGGGCCCTCCGCTAGGCGTACCCGGTAATTCCTCACTGCGTGAGAGCCGCGTAGAGAGGCAGCCTGAGCAAGGTCCAGACACGGGCAAGCCCTTCCAAGTGAAAAGAGGTTATAACCACAAAAAGACAGAACGTTTCGTTCTAACTGAGTGGGAGCAAGACAGCTGGGCAAGGCCAATGGAAAGGGCTCTCCCGCGGCCAGCCCTGCTTTTACAGGACTGATACCATTTTCCAGATGGTTTTAACATAACATCTCCATTTTTCCCCCCACTATTTATTTTCTCTGCAGTCGGCTTGAAGGCAGCTATTCGTGTCCTCTTCTTCTCAAGTCCTTGCGTGTCTCTTTTCCTAGAGATTGGAAAGGATTTAATGAGATTCTACCTAGAAGGTGCAGTAAAAGCTGGGAAAGAGCTGGTGTTAAAGTGAGGGCTTGATTGCTAAGGCGATCCTAATTGATTTAGCACCAGGGACATTTTGCACTTGATAACTCCTCTGAGGCGTGCGTGAGTGCCTTTGAGGGCCTGGTGTTCAGTTTGGAGGGCAGACAAATGCCTCCGGTGGCAAATCAAATCACTGCCTGGCCCTCCTGGATCCCCTTTCTTTTCAAAACTAGCCTTGCCCCTGGGGTTTTCCGTGTGGTGTGAATCGGGGCACTTGGCAAGAGAGCAATGGAGAATGACAGCGCCAGGCTGGGCTCAGGGGCCACTGGGAGAGATCTTTTGAGCTCTTTGATTTTCTTGTTCCTTCCTTCCACCCAAGAGATCAGAGAGCCTGCTGCAGATAGGACTGAGGTCCCGGGGCTGGCTGGCTTTGGACAGGAGCAGGGTTGGCTCTTCTCAGAAAGCCCAGTCTCTCAGTGGCGGCTGGCTCCCCACACTGAAAAAGCGCTGACAGGACAGACTCCCAGCATCTCCTCCGCCTCACTGTCCTAGCCAGCTTGATCCCTGCCATTGCCCTTTGCCCTCCATCTCTGGCTCCTTCTCCAACAATGGCACCAGCGATAAATGCAAAAAGGCTGAGTTGTAGAGGGCAAGTGGCTCTGAATTAGGATGAGAGGCCCCAGGAGAACCACCATCTGTGGAGCAAGGACTGAGCTCCTCAGAGAAGCATCCTCGGGGAAGGCTCTGTGGCCAGGCAATGGTAGCCTGAAGGGGACGGTTCTGAGCTGTGACCCTGGGAAAAAGAATTTCATGAGGCGTGAGGGAGAACAGAGAGGGAATGGGCATAAAATCAAAGAGGGATAATTATACTAGCTAACATTTATTGAATGCTTACTAAGTGCCAGACCCAGGGTTAAATGCTTTACATGGATAATCTCGTTTAATCCTCTCAACTACCCTAATTACCACCATTTTACACATTGGTAGTAGAAATCCAGGCTCAGAGAGGTTGAGTAACTTTGTGCAAGGTCCACAGTAAGGGGAGAGTGAGGCCTAGAACTCAGCTCCATCTGAGTTTAGAGCCACTGCTCTTAACTAGGCAGCCTCCCCACTGATGGTTTAACGGCCTCAGAGGTTACCGAGGAAGGTGCTGGCAATTCCATTCCAGGCCCTGTGGGACCACTGCCTCCCACAGATCCTGGGGAAAGACAGCAGGGATCGTGAGAAAATTCTCACCCCATTCTCGGTGCCCACATTTTCGGCCCATGAAGAGCCCTTCTCTGCTGTCATCCTTCAGTCCCTGCCCGAGCTATGTGCACATCCGTGTGCAGCCATGAGGATCATGGGATCCAGGGGGGGCTGGAGCAGAAAAAATCAACACACAGAAGCAGGCTCTGCCTTCTTGGCTGTTGCATCCCCTAGGAGTGCTAGGCTTGAGCTAGGAGAGTGTTCTAAATGTTTCTGGCCAACAGGGCTAAGATGGGACATCTCTTTCATCAGCTGTGCTAAAAATTGCCCCAGAAAAGGCCAGCATTGTTTAGACACCTGTTGTTTTCCCCTGTGTGAACCTTTCTGTAAGGGTTTGCACAGGGGGCCCTTTGGAATGTTTTGGGGGTTGCCTGGTCCTTGCCCCAGCAGGCAGGCCCTCCTGGCCAGGGACAGTGAATCACCCAGAGCAGAATGCGTGCATCTGCTTGGGAGAACACTGTGTGCTCTGGACTGGCACCGGAGCCCAAGGGGAAAGGGAAATGTGCAGGACTGACCAGCCAGGGGAAAGCTGGGAGGGGTTCTGCGATGGCAGCTGCTCAGGCTCCTCCACCTAAGCTTCCCCAGTGCGTGCCCACCTCCTTCCCCTTGGGGGCAGGAGATAATGGGAGAAAGCACCTGATGATCAGCCCAGCCCCCACTTGAACGCTGCTCCCCCGCGGGGCCCTGGTTGTCAAATTGGAACCTCCATGCCTTACTCCCCCGGCGTGTGGTTAGCATTAATGTAGCATCATCTGACTTGAGCTGGATTGCTCCTGGACTCCCCTCTCTTCTCTATGCCCACCACCTCTGCCATGACTCAGGCCTTGATCCTCTGTCCCCTGAATTACTGTCACAACCTCCTGTCACCACCACCAGCCTCAAATCATTTTCCTCGCCACTACCTGGGCCATTCTAAATGGCATATCTGATCATGTCAGTCCTATAGTTAACCCCTTTCAGTGGCTCCTCATTACCCTCAGGGCACAGGGTAAACATTTTGGCATGGCATTCAAGGCTTTCACAGTTTGACCCAATCTTGCTCTCCACCAGTGCAAGGATGCTCAGTTAAATGTGAATTTTGGACACACAACAAATAATTTTTTAGCTTAAGCATGTCCGTTGCATTGTGTCCTGTATTTTTATTTGCTAAATCTGGAAACCCTACTCCAGCCGCATAACCATTCCTACAGATCGAGCTGCACTTCAGGCCCTTGCTGTCATTCTCTTAGATGAAGTTGCCGGCATCCGAACTGATTGCTTTGTCCCTGGGCTCTCCCTCTTCCAAACCGTCTTCCCTTCTGCCCCAAGCTGTTGTTCAGGCCATTCTCTCACTGCTATCAAAGAATGCTCATGACATTTCCCACTCCTGTCCAAATCTTTCCACACCCTCCAGTTCCTCCACCATGACATTCTAAGAGTCCTGACAACAGTCACTCCCCTTTCTTATAGGCTCTTGACACACTGTCTCACCTAACATTTGGTTATGTCATATTTAGCATTGCAACCTGCGGTTCTGTGGAGAGTGTATCTTCTTGACTAGATTGTGAGCTCCACGAGGGCAGGCATCATGCCTCATCCTTTTATTCTCTCCATCCTCCCATCACCGCCTAGTGGGGCCTCAGAAAATGTAGGTTGGTTGATCAGTGGTTTATTTGTCCTCTTGCAAGACTGTGAGCTCCTCGAGGGCCTTTTCTGGACTACGTCTCATACAGTTCTGCTTGGTTTCACAAACATTGATTGAGCACCCATTGTGAGTCAGGATCTGTCTCGATGTGAGGATACAGAGATGACTAGCAGAGTGCCCCTGCCCTCAAGGAACTCACAGGCTAGCTAGGGAGTTCCGATGCGTGTGGCTACTTACAAGGCAAGTGAGCTGTGCAATGAATAAAGCATATACAAGGTGCAAAGTGCTTACAGAGGTGGAAGTGATGGACAGAATTTGGGAAATGTGATGTTGCAGACATTATAGCAGGGGTTATGCCTCCTTAGGGGGAGAGTAAGGGCAGTCCAGGCAAGGGAACTGCAGGCACAAAGGCATGGAGACAGGAACAGGCCTGGTGGGTGTTAGGGAGCCATAGGAATACAAGAGCAGGGTCAGGCATGAAGGACCTTGAACAGTAACGTGAGCTGTTTGGTGGATGATGGGGAGCTGTTCAAGGGTTTTTTTTTTTTCTAGCTTAATTGACATATAATTGACATATAACATTGTGTCGATTTAAGATGTACAAAGTGATGATTTGGTACACAATATATTGTGAAATGATTTCCGCAATAAGGTTAGTTAACGCATCCATCACCTAGTTACTATTTTGTTCAAGGATTTTAACTGAGAAGACTTCTGTATTAAGAGAGGCAATCAAAGCCAAACATAAAAGACCACATATGGTACGATTCCATTTATGTGAAATGCCCAGAAAAGGCAAATCCATAGAGACAGAAAGCAGATTAGTAGCTGTCTGAGGCTGGAGCTGGGAACGGAAAGTGACTGCTAATGGGTACAATGGGGCTTTTCGGGGTGATGGAAGAGTTCTAAAATTGGATTGTGGTGATGGTTACACAACTCTGAATATACAAAAATCATTGAAATGTACATGAAAAACAGGTGAATCTTATGGTATGTAAACTATACCTTGATAAAGCTGTTTAAAAATAAGAGACCATCAGTCTGGCCACAGTGTGGGAAATAGATTGGATGAGGCAAGCCTGGGTGTGGCAAGGGCAGTGAAGAAACTTCCGCAGAGGTCCAGGCAACAGTTATTGAGCTCTGGCGCTAAGACAGCGGCAGAGGAGCTGGGGAAGAGGGTTGGAGTCAACAGACATTTAGGAGGTCATCAATGAGGTTTGGTAAACAGATTGCCTTGAGGGGATAAGTAAGAAAGACAGAAGAGTCTAGGATGACACTCTGGCTTCTGGCTTTGACAGGTGGGCAGATGGTGGCACCACCAAACTTCACAGCACTTAGTACGGTGCTTGCTGCTCAGCACACGTTTGTAGAATGAATAAATGATTGATTGAATGAATGAAATGCATTCACGTCCTCTATCCCGCTCTATTGCTCCGTCTCACCCGTAGGCTACGCCTTTGGATCCCAGTGTACTTC